GATACAATATCATTTGTATATATTTATTAATATGCAAATGCTTTCTTAAAAAATAAACCCAGGTATGTTAAACATGCCCTGGCCGTGTTTCAGAAAGTTACTTAGTTTTATAAATAAGGGCAAGTTTTCCTCTTAAATTTTTAAATAAAGCATATTTATCTTTTCTTTTTCCATAAGAATGTGCATTCCTATTGTGTACTCTTTGTTTTAAGACTGTATTTTCTKTGCCATTTTCTCTGTGCTAATGACATCTATATGCTTTCTTGTTTTCCCATTAACTTCATGAACTAAACTTCAAATCCACTGACTTTACCATATCATATTTTTTTAACCTCCATCTTTGGCCATCTAATTGCAACCTCAATGATTATAAAAAATGTGAGTTAAAGATCCATTGGAAGGGTGGATCTAAATTAAAATTTTCTCAATCAACCGCATGGAATCATTGATCTCTGAGTTGCAACTACTGTGGTAATTTTTTTTTTTTTTTTTTTTTTTTTTTTTTTTGAGTGTTTAAAGTGTAGCATTTTGTGATGAGGGTAAAGATTCTTTTTTTTTTTTTTTTTTTTGAGTGTTTAAAGTGTAGCATTTTGTGATGAGGGTAAAGATTCTTTCGGAAGTGGATGTATTATACCATCACACCAACACCCAGGAGAGTATGAATGTTTGGAAGCTCTTGAGTGAATAAAGAGGGGTAGGAAGCTCAGGATGAGGTATTCACATCAGGGATACTATTAGCATAACAAATATTGTGTAAGTTTACAATGTACTCTCCAACCTTGAAAAACAGATAAAGGACGGTTTTCAAAGTTTTTGGTACAAATAAAATTGAGAACAAATTAAAAGGAGAGTGGAGTTCTATTCTATTTGCTCCCACAGCTGCAAGAATATCAAAACATTTTTCCTATCAGCTTGTGAGCCCACTCAYATATATAAATTTTTAAGACTGACAGTTTTTTTGAGATGAAATTTATTGTTTCTGTACTGGTCAAAAAGTTGTTTCAGAAATAACAYATGACCTCAGCCTTTCTTTAAGGATGACATTTCCTACTTGATGGTTAATAAAATTTTATCAGGAGGGATTTAAAAAATATATTGAAAGTATGCCAGCATAGGGATCATGTCCACTTGTCTAGATGGTTAATGAACCAATTGAATAAACATATTTGGAAACAAAGAAAAATTAAATRTACAATCTGAACTCCTTGTTTTAARACACAAGRTAACTTTAAAGTTGCATAGTTACTCATGCATATCAGGCTTACATTTGTTCAGCTGGGGCAACCTGCATTTGCTTAGCCACAGATGGATAAAGAGAAGGTGTTTTTCATCTGAAACAATGATCCTTTYACTTATCATAGCTGCTGTGTGATGTACACATCCCATTTAAATGAAATGATCTTCACAGCATCATAAAATATTCATTAAAAATTTTCAGGCAACTTGCAATTCAAAATGTTTCACAATATCTGCTATGGATTAAAAGGRTTTAGTTTAGTTTGATTTGGTTTTTTTTAACCATTTCTTAACTGACACTGCTTTCACATGTATATGTATTTATTCAAATATCAGTCTTACCAATTTTTTTCACATTTCGCTTTAAAGCCACATTTTGTGCTTTATGTATGGCATAAATTAGAGTCAAGGTCCCTAATTTATAGACCTGTAAAAATTAAGTGTAGCATAATTTGGATTTCCAAAGGAAAAAATGTCACAAAAGTAACCAAGGATGGTTTGGATTTGTTAGGTGTGAGTGCTAATTTATATGGAAAAAAAAGGTAATGGATGAGGAAAACCATGGGACCAAGGAGAATATTTTCAACACACAGCGTGAAATACCAATACCATTTTTGTGTTAGTTTTCAAAATTAATTCACTCTGGAAAATGACTTTGGAACTGATGTTAGTCACAATGAAGGAGCCAGAATATTCCAGCTGAGGCAGCTCTCCTGCTGGGGAGCCCAGATAGGGTTGGTTATGGGCAGGTCTAATTCCCCAGGCTCTAGCTGAGCTTTGTGGTTTCGCACCAGTGGTGATTGGATGTCCTTTGTCTCTGGAAGCWTTCCACCAACTTTCGACCCTAACTCAGATTTTCTGCACATCCAGCAGCCAAGTCTGTGGAATACCTGGTAAACCTGGACAAAACCCCATGATGCACATCAAATGTTTTGAGACTTCTTTGTCCTTCATCCTCATGGAAGAAGGAACTTACATTTAATAGCCACAAATCAGTTATTCACTTCCCCTAGAGGAAGTGACCAGCTGTGCCTGCTCTGGAAATACTTTCTCCATTCATATGCAGTTGAGTGTAACAGAAAATGCAAATTCTTGTTTTAAGAAACACACGGAGATTGGTTGCAATTTCTACTTCTTATACACCATTTTCCTTATCTTGCATTTTAACTCAGTGACTGAAAAGATCAGTGTAGCTCAATTCTTTCTGTACCTTATTCCTGGAGCAGGATGCTAAACCCCCTTGTAGAGGTAACAAAGACCAAAGAATTTCCTTCTCCTGGTGATTAGGAGTAGCGTGTGGCAAAGGGCTGTCAGAGAAGCAATTTTGAGACAAAATGCATGTAGAAGGAACTTTTATTCACCATTTTCCGAACCAGATGATCGTAAGACATTATCATTTCATTACTTYGAGTGCTTCTGTTCACATTTCTCTCATATTCTGTACCTCTCCAGATTMATTTTGTACATAATCATAGAAACATAGAACCGTTCAGATTGGAAAAGATCTCTAAGATCCTCAAGTCCAGCAATTAATCCAGGACTGCAAAGGCCTCCACTAAACCATATTCTCACATTCACCTTCCTTTTGAAAACTTGTACTTTTACATGTTACAATAAAAAATTTGATGTTTAATACAACATGGTGCTTTCAAATTATTTCAGTCCTCTTGGATCCTGAGGATTTGATGAGGACATAAATGATGTATTGACTTGTGGCTGTCTCAGGTGAGAGGAAAAGCATTTACTATGAGTTCTACCTGTCCTCTGAGAGTTTTTATTTCAGTTGTAACTAGAGATTTAGCGATGCAGGCATAACCCCAAAAGAAACTTAATGAGATCAGATATAGAATAGTTTGGAGTGTACTTTAAAAGGAAAAAAAAATGCTTGACAAGAGAAAGAAGCATGTAGCAAAGCAAAATTAATTATTTTTTGGTACAGGGCCTCAGAAAGCTGGAAATGTGTAGGCATAAACCATATGAACAGCATCTCTGCCTCAACTTCTATAAGAAAACTAGGCAGATCACATCAGGCATCAGTTTATTCTTTATAAACCACTAACAGTAATCAGATGGAGGTGAGATGGAGGTG